TATATATATATATACACTGTATACTATGTATTATATATAATATATATTGTATATATAACTAATATATATATTATATGTAAAATATATATAATATGTATAATATATATATAATTAATATAATAATATATAATATATATAATAATACATATTGTATATATTGTATATATAATTACCTGCATGCATGCAGGGATGAGTAAATCTGCGGTGTATATGCACCTGCATGTAAACCCTTGGGGTGTATATACACCCTAAATAAACCCTAAATATTTATTTGTATATAAATAAAATAATAAGGCTTTGTATTTCTTTTTATTTAATCCTTTCTTCCCTTTTCTTTTTATTATTATATAATTCAGGTGTATAGGCAGCTCAGGTGTATAGGCAGCTAACCCTAGCCCTAACCCTAAGCCCTAGAAGGAAACAAAGCAACAGCAGTAACACCAGCAGTGGTAGCAGCAGCAGCAGCAGAGGTAGCAGGAGCAGGAGCAGGAGCAGCAGCAGCAGCAATGGCTAGTAGTAGACAGAGAAAGTAATGCGCTGCATCTAAGCAGCAGCAGGAGGAGTTTCAATGTTGACACAGTGCAGCAGCAGCTGCTGCTGCTGTTTGCTGCTGCTGCTGCTGCAGCAAACTGCAAAAGGAACTCGTTGTGTATCGGTGTATGTATACATCAGCCAAAAGCCCCATCGGGGAATGCATGCATGCAAACGCATGCATGCAATCTTTGCATGCAAGCACATGCATGCAATCTCTGCATGCGCATGCATGCATGCATGCAATAATGGCTGATGAGATGTATGTACGTGTTTAAACAAACCTTTTATTGATTTACTTCTTTTTAATTAATTAATTAATTAATTAATTTACTTATTTATTTATTTATTTATACTATATTTATGCCTGTAGATATTTGTTTAATAGGCGCTGAGTAGGACGGCATAAGTGCGATGTGTCGGGCCTGAATACAGCAGCAGCACACCAAACCCTAAACCCTAAACCCTAAACCCTAAACCCTAGAAATATAGTGTGTCATATAAAGATATAATAACCTAAACCCTAATTATACTAACCCTCCTCCTTATCTATATCTAAATATTTACCTAAATCTAGCAAACCCCAAACCCTAAAATCTAAACCCTAAACCCTAAAATCTAAAAACCCTAAACCCTAAACCCTAATCTAAACCCTAAACCCTAAACCCTAAACCCCAATGCGGCATTCACTTTCGAGAATGCGAAAATAAATTCCGGAAGAGTCGATGGATAAGACGCCTAAACCACAACACGAGCATCGTGTTTGTAGCTGCCTATACACCCTAAACCCTAAACCCTAAACCCTAAACCCTAATATCTAAATAAGAATCACTCCTAACTCTTCTACCCCAACTATTCTATTTATTAATTACTATTTAAACATTACTTTCTTTTCTCTTGCTGCTGCTGCTGCTGCTGCTGCTGCAGACAGCAGCAGCAGCAGCAGCAGCAAATAAAAAAAAAAAACTTACTCTGCTCCCTTTCTTGCTGTTGCTAATATCTTGCGGATATCCTTTGCCAAGACTTTACCCAACTCTACACTGTACACACAAAAAAAAAAACATTTATTTATTTATTTATTTATTTATTTATTTATTTATATTATTTATTTAACTTAATTAAATTAATTAAATAAATTAATAAACAACAATAAACAAGAAGAAAACTAAAAGAATTTATA